GAGACGTACAACTAAGGATGTCTTTTAGTAAACTACACCAAAAGATTTTAATCACTCAGGGTGTTCAGTATACTCCTGATCACGAAGCGAAGTACTCGAACAACAGCAGTGATGCTGCAAATGTGAAGCACATTTTCGAATTGTGTTATTGCTAACGCCTTGATCAAGATTTCTTCAGCACCTGCCTACAACGGCTGCGGTCCCAAGATAATGAAGGCGGTGTCACACTACGAAGAAAATTTATAACGTCTAATTAGATAACTGGTTGAAGATTCACAAAGGACTGCCAGCCCAATTTTGGTTGTGATCAGTAGGCACACGTCCAAAATGTTTTAGTGATTCGAGGCCTTATTAAGACATTACTATAAACAATATTGTGGTGAGGCGGACACACTACCGCCTGTGGCATCCTATGGGATAAAACAAACTACTGACACTCTTTGCAGCCCTGTATCCCGAATGAGATTCAAAACCTACAACCTCACAAAAAATCATTTAACGGCCGACCTGCAAAATATCAGGCTAAAACCCAGTTTGAATTTGATACTCACCAACGCAATCATAAATGCAAAACGCTACCCCCTTTGTACACAAACTCCAAAATTAGTTAGTCGTACTAGGACAGTCTCAGGTCACACAACTGCGGGATTTCATCTTGATAACCCAAGATTGAGTGTCTTAAGGTAACTGACTTTCGGATCAGATTAATCGCATGTCACTGCTTCGGAATTAATGAATAGGAGAAAGAAGTGGAGTAATTCATAATTACCAAACCAAGCACCGAGGTGAACTCCTCGCTCACTCAGAAATCTACACGTCTGATTCACATTGGGGCCAGTCTTGGCTACGGAAACAGGGCACATATTCGCTTTCCTTAATGTATCTTCCATTTAAATATACGTGGGAAGTGGACTACAAGTTGAACTACGTTTTGTCAGTTACATTCCTATTTAGGCAAACTTTAATACCCACGATCTTGTACTGCTAGCATCCGTTGGCTCACAAGTTAAATATCCAGCTACCCTGTGCACAATCGCTTTATGTATCCGATCAGATTTAGACCGGTGAAAGGGCCACTCATGGTTGATTTGGTGTTCACTTATAACGAACTACTCATCGGCGAGATAGGAGCTAAGAACACTCACCATGAGTTGCATCAGATATTACTCAAATGTTTGATAATATCGGCTATGCGGAATATCCCAATGAAGGATGACGCTGTAGTTACTGTTGCTAAATTTGCTCTGTTATCATCTTTTCCTAAGGAGACAACTTGGACATTATTAACGGACTACGCTTCGGCAATTGTTTGCGTAGTAGTAGTAGTTGTAGTAGTAGTAGTATCAGTAACAGTAGTAGTGGTAGTAGTAATAGTAGTAGTAGTAGTAGCAGTAGTAGTAGTAGGTAGTAACAGTAGTAGTAGGTAGGCAGGTATTAATAGTAGGTAGGTAGTAGTAGTAGTAGTATAGATAGTAGTAGTAGGTAGGCAGTAGTAGTATGTAGATAGTAGTCGTATAGGTAGGTAGTAGTAGTAGGTAGGTAGTAGTAGTAGGTAGGTAGTAGTAGTAGGTAGGTAGTAGTAGTAGTAGTAGGTAGTAGTAGTAGTAGGTAGGTAGGAGTAGTAGTAGGTAGGTAGTAGTAGTAGGTAGGTAGGTAGTAGTGGTAGGTAGGTAGTAGTAGTAGGTAGGTAGTAGTAGTAGGTAGTAGTAGTAGTAGTAGTAGTAGTAGTAGTAATGGTAGTAGTAGTAGTAGCACTAGCAGTAGCAGTAGCAGTAGCATTGGCAGTATTACTAGTACTAGTGTTAGTATTAGTATCAAGAATAACGTTGGGCACACTGGATCCGCAAGCATCAGCGCAAAATTATTTCTGTTGTGAACGACACCAGGCCTTTCTGCTGAGCAGCACATGTAAATTTATGTCCTGAAGAGATTCGATGCGGAGCATTCAAAAGGACTATCCGAATGCCAAAACTCGGATTGCGTACATGTCACAGCGTAAATACAGGGTGAAATTGATCCGCGAGGAAAAGGCGACATATCAGTATGGCCTAATGAAGTGATATCACACCAAAAGCACGCTCCCATACAAACACATTAATGGCGTTCATAAGGTGCCGCGCGGAATCCCACCACTCGTTACGATTGGCGAGTACACGCAAGCACGAAGTGAAGTCACCGATATTTTGTGACATCGTTACAAATACGCGCTCCAGAGCTAACTTTTCTTCCATGTTCTAATATTCCACCTTCAGGTGTATCCAACATCACCTTCAGATGCTGTGCTGATGAAGGTTTTGTCCCTGAGTATCAGCAGTTCCCCTGGAATAGTCAAAATTCGGGGACCCGCCCTGCAGGTAGCATCCAGTAATCCAACCGAATGACTGGTTGCCTCCTTCCAATATTGTTCACAGAAAAAAATATCCCACTGTTTTGGAAACAACCGGTCGTCACCGCTATCCACAAGGTAGCAAATCACACTATCACTTCACCTGGGATCAAAACCCCCGGTAATGCTGCTTCGTGCGCTTTGTAAAGTTATGGTGTCAGTCATCGCCGATGCATTGGTGCGTTATGTGGAAAAGTGCCTCATAAGAAAACCGGAGCAACATGGCTTTCGCCAAAATCGCTCACGTACTACTAGCCTATTAAACTAAGTATCTGGACTAAGACAGTTTACGGTGGAACGGGAGTCGATGTCATTTATCTGAACTTCTCAAAGGCATTTGATCGCATGGAACAGCGCATTCTGCTTCATAAACTTTTGAACTATGGGTTCGACGACCCAATCCTCGGTTGGGGGTAAGAGACCGAGTATCCCTCCTTGACAATTTAGGCGGAATGCAGTGTACCACAAGACTAGATGCTAAGGCCTCGCCTATTGTTGGTTTTCGTAAACGACCTAGGGATTTCAAATTTTTCGCAAATATCAAGATCAGGGGAACAAGAAGAGCACCAGCTGGATCTTAAGACAACTTGCAACTGGTCAGGACATTATATCCTAACATTCAATGCAGAAAAATGTCCAGTTGTCTAACTTCGCCATAGATCCGACTACATGAATTGACTTGGGGCACACAGGTTGCAGACCCCTTTCCAGGAACGCAACCTTGGTCGGTTCGTACAGAATGCACTCAACGGTTCAAGACAGTATGAGGACGCAGTGAAGACAGACAACCAGGCGTTTGTTTCACCGGTTTTCCTGATGATGCACAGTTCTTATGCGTGTCGTCACCGAATATGCTATCCGAGCTTGGTAACTTTGCTTGAAGTACGACATCGAAGTGCTCTAGATATCTGAATACACGGTAAAGAAGAATGTCAGTAGTCTGCGCAACCTCGTTTATCAGCTAAAGCTGAAATTGCTGGGTGTTTTCAGTGTATTCTACGGCTAGCTGCTGTGAGGTCTCATATTGGAGTGTCAAATAGTGAGACACCACAAACACGTATGCCGCAGTTTGCTGAAACAGCCACAACACAGGGCTCAGAAATAACAGCCTGTAAATGAGTGAATAATACAACCATTTAGAATGCCAACGGAATCATTTTCTCTTCGGATTTGCTAACGTTGGAATTCTTCCCTAATAGTACGAAGCGGTAGATGAGCCTCCGCCCTTCTACTTACATTTCACACTAGCGTCATGCGGCGGCGCTTTTAATGCGGTGGGCATTTAAACCGAGGGCATGCATATCTACTGTTTTGTAGTTCACACCGCAAATATCATGCGGGACCTAGTGCACACCAGATTTTTATCTACCCGTGATCAATCCTTGTTCATTTTCCTCCGGTTAACTTGTTTGGCGTACTAAATTCAGACTACCTAGCTGTTGAGGCTTGCCCCTCAGAATCCAACAGAATTCAAATAATCATCTTCACCATTATACACGTTAGCTAGAGGTGGAAAAGACCTCAGCTACTGTTTGGTAATACATAAAAAATGGGGAAATGCAACAGATGCAAGCCAGCTGAGCTACCCGTAACGAATAGGCATCGTTCCGGTAAGCTACCTACCGGCTAGTTTGTAGCAAAACAGTTTCTTATGCAAAATTATATTACGCTAAGAAATGAGCTCGTGAGCTAAGGCTGAGAGGGAGGGGGAAGGACAAGGAAACTCACAGCACGAACGCCATCGAGGTCCGCTCCTAGCCATGTCAGCAATTGTATCCAGACAGACGTGTTCATCGTCTTTCGGACCCCAACCAGGGAGCTGAGACGCTCCAGCCGAGGCCAGTTTAGAAGTGAGGACATTCATTCCTTTAGACAAAGTCACCGCTTTGCCGCCTCGCCTCTTCTTCCATCCAGACCCTCGGCGCGTAAACAACGCACATCGCGGGAGTCGGTGGGCTGGCATGCGTAACACGGGGCGTAGTCATCGGAGCGTGGTGCGTGAAATGGCGATGCTGAGCGGTTCATTTCGTTTTTCTGTGCCGTAAACAAGTCATCGAACACACTTGTTGCTCACGCGGTTCCCACCACATGTGAGTCAAACTGCGAAGGCACCGGTGGTCGAACCTAACTGGCTTTTTGATGTCGGCTGATCTAAGGACATAATTCTGTTAACAAAAATGCTCCTGCTCCTCGCCTATAGCCCCATCACTCCTTCGGCCCGTTTTCGTATATGGGCGATTTTATACTCCACCATATTTAACGTGATGCTTAAGATAAAATTACGGTAGCGGCAAAGCTGAGAAGGTACATAAACTCCTATCAAAAATCAGCCTTTGTGCACAAATACTGATGAATCTACGATCTTCATTCAGCTTCATATTCTCATTCCCCCAAATACCAGTGTCATGGAAATGCAAAATTACTCTATGTATTATCAGCTCAAAATAAAGGAAGTTGACACCTGTGACCATATCATTTATCAAACTAAAGGCTTTTCGAGCTACATGATGTTCCCATTAACTTTGAGTAATACCCATTTATGCTGGTAATCACACACAGTCAGTCAATACCATTATTCATTGGAACATTTTACCTTGTTCTTCCACCATGACAGTACGAGCCACGATGGAAGAGTACAGTCGCCAACCCAATCGAATGTGCAAATTTCTACAAACGCCTTGCAGTACAGCGCGTGTGCTTGGCTCGCCTACTCTCCAAATCGTTGTCGCACCTTGAAGTGGAAGTTCACACAGCACCCATAGTACCGTTGCATTCCGGTGGTAATTGTACCGTTCAGATGCGTTACACACTGGATAACTGGATCACCTACAAAGACTCCCCTCCTTTAACGTGTTTACGCGTTGAGAAGAAGCTCATCTCCGTCTACGACACACTGTGTGTCGAGGTTTACGTCGTCCAATTGAGCGTCGAGTGTAGTAAACTCGGTCCAGACCTCAAAACCGCACGCTTCGAGTTCGCAATCTCGTCCAGGCAGGAAGGGCAGTCGGAATGCTGGGACAACAATGATGGAGAGAATTACGTTTGCGTTGTGGACTCCAAATGTGATTAGACAACCTCACTTCAGCTCGTCTTGTTGCTGCGTTTATTATTTTTCTAACAAGTTTATCTTTGTAATATGAACTGAACGATTTCAAAGCACTCGCATGCGAACGGCATGCGTCTTCTATTTGTGGACTATCTGCAGTAGGAACCTTTCTAGCAGCTACCTTGAATGCAAACTTCTCGTGTACTACCCAATACAGCTCGCCTGTAGTGACCTAGCCCTCAAGGTCAAGTCAATCGAGGCGATGATTTGAGACGCTCTTGACATACGGCATCACTGCAGTGATGCACAGATTTACGACGGAACGACGAGTTTAGACTGGCGAAATTTCCAATGAGTTCCATCCTTAATGGTTACTCGATGAAAATACCCAAATTGGAACTAAATCGGTTGACAATCAAAACCCATAGCTGAGGGGTAATGTTTCACAAAAGTTCCCATGTATGGGTTGTATGAGTACGGACAGCATTTTGGTGATGTTTTGTCGTTACCGAGTGAGCGCGATTTTCGCGAATGCATGCGGGCCGATGTCTTCTAGAGTCATCCGAACAATATTAATGTCAGTTCCAATCATCTCCATCCTCGAAACTCTCGCATTCGCCACACAGCCAACCGTGGATAACCAAACATTTGTACAGGGTGGCCATAAAGTCCCAGGACACGCCACATTTATGCATATACCTACGTAAATCTGTGCATAAATGTAAAAAATTGTACATGATACTTGTCTAGGAAAAGAAGGGCTCTTCGCTGATCAATGAAATTTATTGAAACAAACATGTGCTAGCCTATGATCACACTGTCATGGATCCAATGTGTCTGTGTGTTCACCGTCATTCTCAGCACATAGACGAATGCGTCTCCAAGTGCGTGCTGAGATGCGTTGTAGAACGTTGTAACGTGTTTTTCTCATCTCTTCTTTCATCAATGCCCCACAAGACATTGTCGCATGATGAGAAGTCAGGACTGCGAGCTGACCATTGATGCTGTGATCCACGTCCAATCCACCGGCCAGAGAAATTCTCATCCAGGAACCTGCGCACCGAGATAGCAAAATGTGCAGGAGCACCATCTTGCTGCAGAATGGCTACATGCATGATTCCAGTTGAAATCAATTGTCGGATGAACCAGGTCTCCAACATTTCTCGGTAGGTGAACTGATTCACTGAGTTTTCGAAAAAAATGGCCCAATGATTTTGGTGGCTGACATTGCCGCCCACATCATGACGTGCGGTGGGTTGTGGACGATTTCTTCAGCATAGTATGGGTTAATCTTGCTCCAAATGTAAACATTTCGTGATCGTGAGCTGAGATAGCACATTCATCACTAAAGAAGACATTGTGACGACTGATTTTTGTGGGGAATTCCTGGAGGTGTTGACACGCTTCCATTCGATTCTGTCGATCAATATCAGACAGTTCACTGACCTGCATTGGCCTGAATGCTGACATGCCTAGGTTAGTTTTGAGTACCTTTTGGAGTGTGGAGCGGGGAATATGCAATTCAGCAGACCTCTTACGAGTCGATTTCTTTGGAGAATTGAAAACTGACTGCTGAATGATTTCCACGTGCTCCATTCGGGAGGCAGGGCGTCCAGAGCGTGGGGCATCTAGCACAGATCCAGATGCAAGTGTTTTCTCCCATGCCAATAATGTGTCCTTTTTTGGTGCAGGCTTCTTGAAACGCTCCTGGAATTTGGTGGAAACGTCAGTCATTGTTCTTTTTCTAGCACTCGATCATGTACCCAAACAGCAGCTATGAGTCTTTCTTCAATGGTGTAGGGACTTGTGTCGGTCATTTTTCGAATGTATGCCTGAAAATAGAAAGGCAAAAGTATCGTACATATATGCTATAAATATGATAAATGTGCAAATATTAAACAATAAATGGTATTGCAAAAATATCGATATGTACCATGACCAGGGACTTCGTGGTCACCCTGCACAAATCTTGCGCGCTTGGTCTCGCCTATTTCATGCTGTGTACTGAAGTTGTACGCTTTGGCCTCAAACGCTATGCGACCTTGACCGCTGGCTACGAATGCAAAAGTGCGCCTCCATATTGATAGTTTGGATGCCTAGCCTGCAAGCATTCGCGGCATGCTATGGGGTTGTTGAACCTCGCATTACCACATGCTGAACGTATCGGTGGTTACTGGTTGTAACATAAACTGATTATGTTACTGCCTCTGGACACGATCCCAGTGGTCCTAAATTGAATCCGATCAGTGTATCAATGTCCGGGGGTGAGGTTGCGCGGTCACCATGCATTCACACACGGGTGACCTAAAAAGCACTCCCAACCAGTAATGGTTGACAGTCTGAACAATGAAGCAATGATTTAATACGGGCGAAAAGCAAGGTGCTTGACGCGTCCAGTTGGATGATTTGGGGTGAATACGATGAAATCAAATATATATGTGGTTCATCTACCGACGTGTCTGCCGGGATGAATACTTGGATAAATAACATCAGCTGTAAACTTAAAAGAGTCGAGCCGTAAACGATCCTGAAATACAAATGGGGAGCAGTGATCATCTGATGAAGGAGAGAGAAAATATATCCATGGTCGCTCACTTTGGGTCCATTTTGACACAATGGTTGGCGGCATCCGGTTTCGGATTTGCTGTCACTGTGGCAAGCCCACAGGACGCCTGCGCCTACACAGTGGACCATGGATGGCTTGCGCTGCACCACCCATAGTTCCATCCGCACACCCCATATCCAGTGTAAACCCGAAGGAATAAGGACCGGGAGGCATGCGGATGGGAACCACGTTTCATTCACGGAGCCGGCCCACACTCCTTCACAAGCAAACACAACCGCACTGCATTTGGGGAATCAATCGCACACTAGGCGGTAGCTGGACAGTAATCCGCTCCACACTGACTGCAATGGAACCACTCTTCGAGCCTAACACGGCCCACAAGGACCGTGCACCCTGTCCCCTCCAGCAACGACCAACTGTCTCCTGGAGCCAGTATGGACTGAGGTAGTGGATAATAGACAGGTAGGCACCTTGTCCACATGCACATCAAGCGCATCCACACTGGGGATATCAAACAACAGCCAAACACTTGAGAGAGAGAGAAAGAAAAAATCCTGTTGAAAAGTATGCTTGGCGTAATCCAAAATGGAGGAGTTTAGGTAACAAAATGTTGGGAGCTAAGAGCAACATCTAATCGTTTTTTGAAAACCTCCAACGTAGGGGAGCATACAACTGTGTCTGGGAGTTCGTTTCCAGGGTTGGCAAACCCGAAGGGAAAAGTAATTCCGTAGACATTCTAGACGATTATATTGTTCCTGTCAATTTTAAGCAGTTACCCCTGAGCTACGTGTTGTGGCTAAGTTTCAGCAACTGGCGGCATACGTGCTTGGGGTCATACAGTATCTGATACGCTATTATGAGATCGCCCCGTAGCCTTCGATAGCGTTCGCTGAAAATTCCCAGTAACTTCGCCCTTCGGTGGTAAGAGTGATAGTGCCGGCCCTTTACATTCTTTGTTGCTTTTCGTTGTGGTGCATCTAATGTCTGTAGGTCGCGCTGCAACCAAGGTTGCCAAGCTCGGATAGCGTAATCAACATACGGGCACATATAGAAACTGTGCATCATTAGGAAGATTGATGGGTCGAATCTCCCGAATGCCCTTCGCAGCATGCCGAAGTGCTGGTTGCCTCTTTTCGCAGCTACCTCAGCCTGTTTTGAACAGTTGAGGTCGCTCTGTACGAGCACACCAAGGTCACGTTTCTGGGAACTAGTCTCCAGTCCCCTTAGCCCATTCAAATAGGTGTAGTTATAAATCGGAATACTTGTAGCTCGGGTGATTTGTTCAGATTTTGTTCTGTTTTCCGAGCTGAACAGTTACGTTGCAGACGTTTCATCACCAGTCGTGGTGACTTCCTCAGTGCGTTATAAGCAAACTGATTTGTTTTGTCGATTCTTACCGACGAGCGAGTGACATTTGAACCTGCTCAGTTCGATTAAGGTCCCGTGACCATTGCTAGTTCCCAGTGTGGGCGCCGCCTCTTTCGACTCATGTGCCAGATGATCCACATAAACACGCATACAGATCAAATATTAAATTTCAACAGCAACCATCCAAAATGTATCAAGGTAGGCAGAATCTGAGTAAAGAATTCTTTTCGGCAATTCTCATCAGACTCAAACATTACAGAATGAGGAAAAGTGCTAAATGTGCCGGATTGGGCTGCGTATTGAACAGAATGTTTAATTCCACGGGTACAAATCAACAAATCACGGGGTCATTGGGAGTGGCAAGTATGTACAGGGGAAATCATAGCCGAAGTTGTAGGCCACGGTAGAAGCAAAGGACGTACAAACTGTTTTTGTACGCACAATTCTGGCTTGAGGTGGCGGATGTAGATAGCTTCCGCAATAGACAGAAGATGCATCCGGAATCCGCGCGTGAAACGTTCAGGAACAGCATAAATGATTCCAAAATCATTTTCCGTCCCTGCATGACTGTACTCTAGTAGGTGAGGTAAGATGGAACTGTTGCTGGACCTCGCTTCGCCTTTGTAAAACCACTTTGGGAGGTGTTCGCGAATCCTATGAGATAGGCGCCTCTTGGTACGACCCACGTATGGTGCCCCACAGGAGCACGAGTAAAGATCAACAAGCATTGATCGAGTCACCGGAGGCAGCCTGTCTTTCGAAGGTTTTGCGAATAAAGGCTTGTTGTAAAATACTATATGTAGGCGAGCCGCGAAGTAGGTCTTTTCAATTCGCAAGGGGACGTTGAGAACATGTTATCTAGTTTAGTAAACACCTGTCATGATTACATTAAGGCTGGACCAGCCGGTAGTGGTTTTCTTACAAGCGCACATATGCAGTCACTTAGAGAGTTATGGTTAAACAAAGAGTTAATTATCTCTAAGCCGGATAAATGTTCTGGTATAGTTCTAATGAATAGAACTGATTATGTTAGTAAGATGCAACATATTCTTAGTGATGAACGTAAGTTTCAAAAGCTAACATTAGAAAAGGATAACACAGAAGAGTTAGCAAAACAACTGACCGATTTGCTCCGACGAATGATGAAAGAGAATGTTATCACAAAGTGCGAATTCGAAAAGCTGAGACCTTCAGGCGGACATCTACCACGGTTGTACGGCCTCCCTAAAGTACACAAGGAGGGCGCTCCAATGCGTCCCATATTGGATATGGTTAGCTCTCCGCAACATTTGATAG